AGGACTGCGAAAGGTTTCTTACTAATGCAAGATAGGATAAATAACCTGCTGTCTGATATCACAGATGATTATGCTTAATAAACTGAGAGAATTTATTAAGCATAATCATCATTGTGAAGCCCTACTGCAAGCAACATAATATCCATCTGTTATTGCAACCATTTTGTGCACATGTTTTTTGACATGCTTTTTCATGACACTGTGCTGTTTAATAAACCCGCATCTGACAAGGCCAGGAAAATGTAACGGGAGCAACAGGTTTTGCAGTCACATATTTCTAATGAGGTTGAAATTTTGTGCCCATCCTTCCCAAAATATACAAAACTGATTGAGATGTGCTTGTAGATTTCCACATGCTACATCTACAGAGCCAGACTATCTATCAGATCCAACTGAGGCGGCAGGCCAAACTGAAGTCACATCTATGTAAAGACTCATTTTTCTTGCATGTCATGTGCGGGGCTCCGTAAATATCCCTAATTTCATGAGAAATTCTGACTTATCTCACAATTCTGACTTTTTCCTCACAATTCTGTGCTATGTCTCGCAATTTTAAAAGTCTGAATTGTGGGTTAAAAAGTCACAATTACCTGTCTTACTTTTTTTAGCAGAAACAGGCTTCCATAGACATTAATCACTAAAAATGCAGTAAAAACAGTATTATTTTGAAATATTATTGCAATTTAAAATAACTCTCCTTCAGAAAATATTCTAATATGCTGATTAGGTATGTGCAACAGTGATCGAGTACTCGGCCGTGACAGCGACGATCGATCATGAAAACGATGATCGTGGAAAGTTTTTTTTCTGATTGGTTATAGAAGCACCCTGCATGCGGTCCAAAGTATAGACGTGAGAAGAGACAGAAGCATGGCTTCGAAGTCACGTAGTGATGTCTGGGTTAGCTACATACATATCTGATTAATCTAATATAGGATGCACTGGGATATTAACATTCATTAACATGCTGAATGCGCTGCAGTGTTTAGTTTCATGCTCAAATGCAATGCCAGATATTGACTGAGTTATTTGAGACGGTCATATTGCTTTTAGATGTTTCTTTTTTTTAAATACTGATGTTATAATAATGCAGTAGGGATGTAACGATAACCGGTTTGACGATAAATCGTGATAAAATACCCCACGGTTAGTATTACCGTTTCATATTTTAATTATCACTATAACCGTATTCGATTACTGCGATTTGAACAACTGAGGATAAATAAATACTGTCCAGCACAGGGCTCCAGAGTGTGACCAAATGGGCGCATTTTGCGATAATTTTTTCAGCCGGTGCGACAAAATTTTGTGTGCAGTCGCACTGGCGCAACCACCGCATTGTTTAACTCATAAGCGCTGCATTTCTGTTGCATATGAGAAACATCAAACGGCAAACGAAACTGAAAACATAACAAAACCGCGCAACTCGTTTGAGCTGCCCAGCGCTTCGAGTGTAGAGCCTGGTTTATACTCGCCGCGTCAGGAGCGCGAAGCTGCGTGCAGCAAAAATGACGCGAATATTGAGGAAACGTTGGATGGGTTTCATGCTAAAGTAAACTAAAAGACCGCTTCTTAAACCAGAGGTGAACATGTTGGTATTCTTGTGGGACAAAAACATGCAAGCACTGTCACTTCTGCTAATTCACGCCTACACGCTAGGTGGCGCAGACCAACAATGCATTTTTTCCTTATGTAGCATATATATCTCTTATATGGCTTTTGCATTGTTCGCTGCTCAATATACAGCATTAAATTAAGATAAACAACTTTTGGTTCTTCATTATAAACATAAACTATCCATAATGCTTACAAGAACACATCTGAAAATATAATTAGGCTAGAGTTACAAATAGCATCAAGCTACATTTCAAAACGCATGTAATTATTAATGTTTTTGCTCAAACCCCACTTTAAACCATCATCGAGTGCTTGTAATAACTTCCGATTGTGATCTAAAATGGATTTTGATTCTATAATAGGTAGACATGTACTCTTTGTATGTTTCATAATAGACTGAACGCTACCTGCTTGTCATAATCATCCTTTATTGTTATAAAAATACCGTGAGCTGCATAAAAACATACAGAAAATATATCTTCATAATCATATGTCTATTTGTTTTCATATTTCACGTGTAGAAAATGTTTCTCTATTTTTTTTATATACAGAAGGGCAAGAGATGATGGATGGTGCTCTCCAGATCACATAATTCAGTGGAGAATTAATAGAAATGGTATTCTGTATAAAGAACGTGAGAATAAATCTGTTCTCAAATACCAACGATAACAAGAACTCAGAATCCACTTTCTTCTCTCTACCGGGATACACTTCTTCGGTGTTTGTTTACAATGGTTTTCAAATAGCGTCACCATTCTCACCCTTTTGTGCGACAGCAGCTGCTCCGGGCACGTGATCTAAGCTCAAATCTGATTGGACGGCCCGTTTCATCGCGGAGCAATGGGGAAAAAAATCGACACACAAAACGAAAGGAAAAATCTTCGCTTTTTCACGCCGCAAATGATTGCGCCTAGTGTGAATAGCTCCATTAGGGATCTATTGGTTCGATTCAAAAGCGTCATCGCGCCAAACATTCGCGCCGATTTTCGCATTCAGTGTGAAAAGCCCTTTATAATGAGAACTTTATAGAAATCTATAGTTAATTCTCCTTGAGAATTTTAATGATCAAAATCTAACAGTGTTATAATCAGTTCATGTTTTCATGTCATTTGTATTTTTTTAATATTCATTTTCATAACAGTCTTAAGATATTTTCATTATCTCCATTACGGCCAACCCCCCCCCCAGCATTTATTTGAAATAGAAATCTTTGTAACATTATAAATGTTTTTACTGTCTCTTTTGATCAGTTTACTGAGCTCAAATGGTAGCGTACATAAAGCTTATGGTGCAAAATATCGAAAAACCCAATGTCACCTCTGTGGTGAAATACACTATAAAAACAAATAGTTCTATCTCTAAAATCTGATTGCATGAGCCACATCGCCACATTGGTGTGCCACATCTCCTGCCAAACTCGTGTTTGTGTTGGCATCTCCCTCGCACACGCCCGAATGCCCATATGTTTAATCCGGTTCTGACCTGTAAATACTAATCTACAAACCAAATTACCATCATTACAGCTCAACCTCTTTGATTTGAACATATCAGCGCTGTAAGTGTCCTTGCCTCTGATCAGACCACCCTGATCCTGCCTTCCTGTAAGACGCCCATCAAAACCCAGAGAAGCTCAAGGCTTCAACCCCCACGGCAGCTGAGAAGTAACGAGGAGTTCGACCTCGAGTCGGACCACCACGACACAATTCAAGTCTGAAGAAACCAAGAAACCCAGTAGACTGATGCTGATGTCTTGTTTGACTTGTTTGTCCAGTTAAAGTGTCTATTCTGGAGCTTCAGTTTGTCATCATGAGAAAATGACCCTCACTTCCAATGCTTTCTCTTGATGTACAGAACAGCTGGAGTTTAACAATGCGGTTGTCGTGAAACATTCTATAACAATGATGGCTTCAAAATTTCTGCCCATGTTTTACAAGTCGATGTGGTTTGTGTTAATCAATTGCTGAGATGGTTGAAAATTCAGCCGTTAAAGGTCGTTAAGAACAAAAATTGTGGAACAACAGATGAAATAAAGCATGCTTGAAGCTATTATTACTAAAAAAAAAAAAGTCTATTGTACTCTCATTGGAGAAAAGCATCAGTTTCCTACTCTGATTCATGCACAAAATCACTCAAATGTTGACTCAACACATACAAATCCAGACAACATTGATCATAATTACCTATTTAACGCTGAGTCTTTCATCTTCGTGTTTTATGTAAACTTTGAACAGGTTTCCTTTCTAATCTGCTTCCTCAAAGTAAATGTTCTGTGCAATATTAAGTGCTGCAAAAATAAGCCCTAAAACCAAGAAACAAGTTCATATTTTTGCACTTCTGGTTCCATCTTCCCAGAGTCAACAGGTTTTTTGAATGGGTTTTTGGTTAAATGCCTGAAATAAGGTCTGTATTTAACACAAGCTCTTAATATGCTCACATTTTATTCTAAAACATAAAATACCTCAGTACTACACCACTTGTGATTTTTTAAGCTTTTACTTGTCTTGAAAAAGGTGAACAAGTGTCTAAACGGGACTACAGAGGTTGTCGGTGATGCTAAACATTGTCACACTGAAACTCATCTACTCACTGGTACCTTTTACAGCCTTGTAAGTATCCCAACTTGTATATTTTAAAAAAAGGATTGAAAGATTTGTCAGAAGCTTAGTTGTGCAACCTTGTTAATAGCCTAACTTCAGGTTTTTACTTCTGGAGATTGTATTTAGACCTCAAAATTCTATGCCATGCATGGTGCAAGAAATCGCAGGGAACAAGGTACGTCTTGACTCATTAGTGTTGCCAGATCTTGCAATAAAAAAAACAGCAATTAAGAACAAGCCAATAATAAACATAAATCCAAACGCAATACCTTGGAAATAAGCCACATACCATAATATCACAACCTGGACCTGCCTACTTTATTAACTCCATAAACTGGATCGCTTCACCCAACAACAAACCCAAAGATGTTTAATAAGCATTTTATAAGCATTGCTTATAATATGTGGACATGGCAACCCTTCAAGAGCACGCACTGCAAAGCGACCTTCCAAACATAAACCAAACTGTAATTTAGGGGATGCACTCCCACATTTAAATGCGGTTGTCACACCTGAAACTTTACAGTGCATAAACTTTTGCTGGCCACAGAGTTAATTTTCTGTAAAAACCAATCCAATCTAACCATTCCAAACCAGAATTCAAGTGGTTTTTGTAAAAGGAACCATGGTGATGATGACTTCCGGGTTGGCCTACAAAATGATGTCATCCCTGTATCACTCTATAAGCCACATGGCTTCAAAAACAATTCATCCAATCAGAATTTGGAGTCACAGTTGGGAAAGATTACTTGTTTTCTGCGTTTTCTGCTTCAAAATGGAACATACCAGAATTTTGCCATTGGGTTTGTCCTGTCGAGCCAGACTGACCCCCATCCACTCGTCATTTCTGTCGCCTTGACACGTCTTCCCACAGGACTCCCTCTGCTTATTTCCTAGAGTACAGAATGAGAACATTACTGTAGCCAACAGAGAGATAAACATCCCTGTCTGTAACTAGAAACACAATAAAACCACTCCAAGACCAGGCAGCCTGAAACAAAAGTCAGACAGTCAATGTTTGAGACCGTTTAATATGCTTGAATACAGACAATACTGCTTTGTGTTGGTAAGATAAGTACACAAAATATTTGCAATGTAAAACTCATGTGTATCAAATGCAAATATAAACTTCAGTGTTCACAATACTGATGGGCAACTGCTCTACATGGATAATCAAAGTCTAGAAGCTCTATTTTTATTTCTATTGGCCCAATCAAGTTCCAATCCCACAATGTAGTAGTAAAAAGATGCGAGCAACCTCTTAAATCCTGGTTAATTAACTTTCCTAATATGATCATCAAAGCCATGCAAAACACATCTAGACTTCTTCTTGTGCATATTTCTCTATACAAAAAAGTACCATGATATACCAAAAGGTACCATTGTCATAAATAGCATGGTACATTAATCTGGTGATCATTCAGTACCATGTAGTCAAGCCATGTCACATTTATTTATATAGCACAGGGGTGGCGAACGTCGGTCCTGGAGAGCCGCAGCCCTGCAGAGTTTTGCTTCAACCCTAATGAAACACACCTGAACAAGCTAATCAAGGTCTGAAGGGTTACTAGAAAGCTGCAGGCAGGCATAACATTGGTGACCTCGGAAAATATAAACCATGAGATATCAGCTTCTTGAATCAGACATGATCTATTTTGGAGGTATTCTATTGTCTATTTTGGGTATTTAACTGAGCAAAAATGGAGGATTTACGAGCAAGGCGTGTTATTCCTGCAGGGAGTTTATCTAAGCATAAGGGTAGGCTTTAATGTTTATCTATGAGCGTTGAGCTACAGCGGCCCTCTGAGGGGCAAACTGTGATTGTCCACAGGAAAAAGAGTGATGGCTCCCGAGACAGCGGCTGTTTTCTTTGGCTCTGGTTCTTTTCTCCTCCTTCTCAGCAGACTGACAGCATCAGCATAAAGACTTAAGTCTGCATAATGCCCAACTGAACTGGGATTCCTATTCTACTCCCACCCAGATTTGACTGAATGAATCAATGCATAACCAGAAATCTTCACACCAGCCCAAAAACTAGTAAGTTGTCTTGCAGTCTACTGCCTACGAAGACAACATCCTTACTCTCTTGGAACCTCAAGAGTGATTTGGAATGCCGTACAAGTCTCAAACAAATAATGCACTAGACTCGACTAGTCTGATTTTAAGAACAAAACACTAATAGGCAAAAGATAAAGCATACAGAGCACACAAATATTGGGTAAACAGCTTGTTGTTTATTAGATGTAATTATTTTTATCAATACTTATATAAGTACACTACCATTCAATAAATTGGTGTCAGTAAGATTTTTTAAGTCTCTTTTGCTCACCAAGGCTGCATTTATTTAATCGATAAATACAGTAAAAACAGCAAAATTGTGAAATATTCTTCAAATTTTAAATAATGGTTCTCTATTTGAATATATTTAAAAAATATAATTTGTTTCTGTGAAACAAAACTGAATTTTCAGCATCATTACTCCAGTCTTCAGTATCACATGATCCTTCAGAAATCATTCTAACATGCTGATTTGCTGCTCAAGAAAAATTACTTATTATTATCAATGTTGTGCTGCTTCGTTTTTGTGGAAACTGTGATGCTGTTTTTTAAGATTCTTTGATGAATAGAAAATTTAGATAAACAGCATTTATTTGAAATAGAAATCTTTTGTTACATTATGAATGTCTATACTGTCACTTTTGATCAATTTAGTGCATCCTTGCTGATTAAAACTTCTAAGAATCTTACTAAACCCAAACTTTTAAACAGCATTGTCATGTAGAATGTTTTGGTGATCCTGGTCCATCTGCAAGACAAGCACTAACCAGGAGAAACTAGCATGAACTAGGATGGAAATGCATAAGCCAGTCTTTTTTAGCAGCTATTGCACAAAGTCTATCAGGAAACAACCTTTTACCTCCTAAACAGCAGCTTGTCAAAGGTGGGACAAATGGTTCTAATCACATCTTGTTCAGGCTGTTTGAAGTTAATGCTTTTGCCCCTAAAACTGCGAAGCATCCAAAGCACACAACGACGAGCGCCAGATCTCAAGTTAGGAATGAAACACAAACTGTCAAAAACCAAGATGAAGTTTGCTTGGGATACGGACGAAACATTATTTTCAGCAATTAGCAGCATAGCACCTTCCAAAAAACACTACTTGTTGAACACAGATATATTTCATGGGGTCAAGACTGCAGGAAAACCACAAGAAGAATTCCCTTCTTAAAAATCTTGGCCATCACTTCAAATAAGAAGGCGCTAGGAATGTTCCTCAGACTATAAACAACTCATCAAATCAGCGACCCCGGTTCCCCCCGGCCATCTTCGTAACAGACGAGTTTGTTTTCGCATCTGTGTGGGTCCTGAGTGCCGCGTTCTTCTGGTTGTGAACCGCTCAGCGAGGGGATGGTAAGTAGGATGAGGTCTGGAAGCGTGTAGTGAGCGAGCGTGAGGCCGGAGTGTGCTGGTCAGTTAACGGATAACTGAAAGAAAACAAATGTGCATGCTACTTTGATCATGAAGGTCAACTAAGATGGACGGTTGATCTATTTAACACTGTTTAAACAAATCAGATCAACCGATAACAGTTCAGTCCAATGGATGGCAATAGCATGTTGCTTAGTTAGCAATGCAATGCTAACACACAAACAGTTTTAATTAGATTTCACCCAATTTCTGTACAATTTGCACTATTGTATTAAATGTAATCAACCCAAGCTCATTGTAAAAATGTGCCTCTTCTTACATTTTTGCTCCAAAAATGTACCTATACATACAATTCACTGCACTTTCCAGCTGAAATGAACACTAGTGGTAGCAAAACAATTCAATTAAATTCAAGTTTATTTGTATAGCGCTTTTCACGATACAAATCGTTGCAAAGCAGCTTTACAGAAAATTAAGTTTCTACAATATATTTGGTAGTAGCTTATCAGTGGTGACTATGTCAAATTGATGTACATATGGCAGAAATGTACGGAAAAATCGTAATCAAACAGACGGTGAACGCTATTAACAGCAATTATTATATGTTGCAATCAAACTTATAGCAAAATGTGGTAGTTCTGTAAGTTGTTTCAGGGTTGGCATCATCTGAGGTCCTCTGAGGGGTTGGCATCATCTCTTCTCAGGTGTTCTGGATCCAGACTGAAGCTTGTGTAAATCAACGGGATGTCAATCCCGTGGCAGAAACAGAGGATCAAATAGAGACATAATTAGCGTAGCTGCTGTTCCAACCAAGCAAAATTGATTTGTTTGTACAACACACCAACTACTTATCTTCCTTTTCACACAAATTTTGATTATGGGAGCGGATTATCAATAAATAAAGACTTATTTTTGGGCAGTTTATTGCACAATACTATATTAAAACACTTTTGCCATAGTACATTATTTTTAAACTAATACATTTTGACATTTGCATCTCATAAACACCTCCATATGTATATCTTTATGACGTAGTAAACTCGTTCATTAGCTCACCTGGTAAACTTGAGATGCAAAGCGTTCTGGTTCAAGTCACGTATAAAACATGAATCAAAACACTCCACAAAAGAGCTCAAAGGTTAAGTGTAGGTGGTACATTATTTTCAAATGCAATAAGCGCATTATCCCTTTAACGCCAATCAACAGACATTTCATTTCCAAACTGCTGCAATATATACAACAACCAATGTAATAAAACATTGCCAGATTCATATTCATTGGATAAAACTGAATGTGCTTTTAAAGCCATTCACTGGTCATTTCACTTAGAATGTGTCACAACATGTGCACAAAACAACATAATATAATTTTGCAGAATTGTTGCCACAGGCACGTTTTTTCCCAATGAGCCTGGGCTGAATGTAAGTATATTTATAATAAACCTTTCTCTCATCTTTTATCCCAGTTCTTCCACTGAAATAATTGCAATTGATTTGCCTTTTCCTTAAGGAACACATGCAATGCTGCCTTAGAAATTGGACAAAATGTTGGCATGAAATTGCACCTATGATGAATGGAGTTTAGGTAGTCGGCTCATTAGGTTTTGGAACAGATCTATTCGTATAGTACACTATCAAACACATCCTTCAGTGCAATAAACCCTCATCCAACAGATAATCAATTGACTTTACTACTCTAAATAAAGATTGTAATTGCTCGTCCTGAATATGGCTTTGAATGGGCTCTGTGTTGCTTAGAAGGAAATAGCATAATTACTGTATTTGATGAAGCCAAGAAACATACTAGAAAGTGGAGAATTACCTCCCATAACAACTGAGCACAAAGCATTTCACCTTACCAGTAAAGAACTTCAATGAAGGCTGTAAAAGGAGAAGAAACGATCTGCAGTACACAGCTAAAGAATTGCTCAAAATATGCTTGCAATTATCAAGATCAAAACCATTTCGTAACCGATAAATAGTTTCATGTCTGCAAGCAGATGAGTAAATGTCTAGTCATGGTACTGCAATATCATCTGACCCCCGTCCACAAGAGTCACAAAACATTCTTCATAAATTGACAACAGACGGAAGGTTTAAAGAAATAGTTCACTAAAAACTGACAAATTCTGCCATAATTTACTCACCTTATGTAATTTCCAAAGCAGCAGGACTTTTCTTCTACCGTGGAACATAATATATGATGTTTAGCAGAATGTTCTTGTTCCACAGAAGAAATAGTCACATAAGTTAAAGGAAGTTCACCCAAAATGGAAACTGTCTGAAAATGTACTCATCCTCAGGCCATCCAAGATGTAGGTGAGTTTTGTTCTTTATCAGAACAGGTTTGGAGAAATGCAGCATTCCATCACTTGCTCACCAATGAATCCTCTGCAGTGAATGGGTGCCGTCAGAATGAGAGTCCAAACAGCTGATAAAAACATCACAATAATCCACAAGTAATCCACACATGACCTTAAAGCAGGGGTGTCAAACTCAGTTCCTGGAGGGCCGGAGCCCTGCAGAGTTTAGTTCCAACCCTGCTCCAACACTCATACCATGTAGTTTTCAAATAAGCTTGAAGGACTTGATTAGTTGTATCAGGTGTGTTTAATTAGGGTTGAATCTAAACGCTGCAGGGCTCCAGCCCTCCAGGAACTGAGTTTGACACCCCTGCCTTAAAGGATAAGTCCACTTCCAGAATAAAAATTTCCTGATAATTTACCCACCCCCATGTCTTCCAAGATGTTTATGTATTTCTTTCTTCAGTTGAGTCACAAAGAAAAGTTTTTGAGGACAACATTCCAGGATTTTTTTTCCGTATAGTGGACTTCAATGGTGGCCAACGATTTCAAGGTCAAAAATGCAGTTTCAATGCAGCTTCAAAGGGCTCTACACGATCCCAGCCGAGGATTAAGGGCCTTATCTAGAGAAACGATTGGTCATTTTGTAAAAAAAAAATATATATATATTTATACACTTTTTAACCACAAATACTCAGCTAGCATTAGCTCTGCAATGCATATGCGTGTCTTTATTAGGTGATATTGGAAAGGTCACGCGTGACGTAGGCGGAAGTACCGACCCAGTGTTTACAAAGCGAACACGCAAAAAAAGTCAAATGCCCTTTACAAAAAAGGTAAAACAACGATGTCGAATGATTTTAAAGTTGGAAGAGAAAATGAGATGGAGTTTGCTGCCTTCACGTGCTATCGGAATTATCGAAAATACGAGTTTCCTAATCGGAAATTAGACGTGAACGCCTCTCAAATTGTATTTACTACTGGGAAATTCGGAACCAGAGTTTCCGAGTTGGGCGGGTCATAATCTTTAAACATGGTGGAGGGCACAACCATTGCTGCTGTCAATGCTGTTCTCACAACAACTACATCCCTTTGTCTGGTTGCTAAAGTAGTGTATTTATAGGCTAGATATGAACGATCATTCGAAGCATATTGCATGTTTTATAAGCAGTGAAATAAGCATGTATTTGACCGAAATTCCAGGATTGTCAGCAAACTGCATGTGTAGCGCGGTGAATGTTTATGATAGTCAACCAATGGGATGCTACATTTTATTCTTTCCGACATTAAAGCACTTGAATACGACAAGCTCGTAATCACGACTTCATAAGTGGGAAATAGGAAATTTCTGATAGCACGTGAAGGCAGCATTAGTACAAAGATGAAGAAGTAACCACGTGACCTTTCCAACAGGATTACGTAATGTGTGAAGACGCGCACGCGCATCGCAGACCTAGAGCAAGCCAAGCATTTGTGCTTAAAAGTGTATAAATATAAATTTTTTTCAGAAAATGAACGATTGTTTCGCTAGATAAGAACCTTATTCCTCGGCTGGGATCGTGTAGAGCCCTTTGAAGCTGCACTGAAATGGCATTTATGACCTTGAAATCGTTGGCCACCATTGCAGTTCACTCTATATGGAAAAAAAATCCTGGAATGTTTTCCTCAAAAAACTTAATTTCTTTGCGACTGAAGAAAGAAAGACATGTACATCTTAAATGACATGGGGGTGCGTAAATTATCAGGAAATTTTTATTCTGGAAGTGGACTTATCCTTTAAGGTGACTACGTTTTCAGTAAATTTTCTTTAGAGAAACGAACACTAGTTCCCTCATATCAGTAGCAATATTTCTCAAGGGGGGCCCTGAGGGGTCTTATTCTATATGATTCATGTAAACTCAAAGCTGGGGCCCCAGGACACGCCTCATTTGCTCTTGTGTGTTCTGTCAGTAAGACACAGCACAAGCAGGAGTGTGCGCATTAAAGCCACATAAACCGCTCTCATCTCTCCACCACAAGAAAAGAGCTTCAAGAGATCTCTACACACTGGATCCTTGGCGTAGCCGCTCGGAAAATATTAGACAAACCATTCATCATTTCTATCAAAATACCTCAGGAGCCAGACTACAGACATTTAAACTGATTGCACACAGTAATATTAATACTTTTAAAAAGAAAAAACTATGATATTGTCAGCTGTCCATCACATAAACAAGCTCATAGTATGATGCATATTTACAAAAGGAAATGTGTAAATCAACCTGTTATCAGTGCTGAAAATGAGTGTTAGTGTGACTGGGGTAATGTGAAAACAACAGGATAAGATAACAGCTCTGTTTTTTATTATAACTGGGAGAAAAGTTATTAAAAGTGACCAAAACAAGGCTGTTAAAACATTCGTCCAGGCAGGGTTTTAAATACTGACCGGTCCAAATTCCATGTTTAACTTCATGAGTGATTTCAGTGGTACAGTGGTTTGGGCTAAACTACCCGTATAAAACAGTTCTGCTCTTTTACCGGCTGATTTGACTGTGCAGATGGCATCTTCTAGCTGTTTTTCATTTTAACTGGTGCTGTCAAACACAAGCACATCTGACACTCACACAGGATATAATGAAAATACAGTATATAAACACATTTTCACTTCCCTTTTTACAAATTCAAAAGATCTTTAGACATGTTTTAGAACAAGTTCTTTAGATGCATTCTTCTTCTGGATTCTTCAAGATTCTAGAAAATGTACGAATTTAAGACGTCATATGTATTTGTATAGCACAATACATAATTGTTTCAAAGCAGCTTTACAGAAAATCATGAAGGTTAACATTTACAATATCTTCATGACTTACAGTCGAATTTAGTAGATTAGAGCTGGGAGATAATAAAGTTTACATTTTGCAATGATGCAAGCAATAAAGTCGTTAAGATTTGCTACAGTATATGGTATTTATCACCATATGTAAGTATACTGTATGCAGATGCTAAAGGAGTGTTAAAGCCAGAACATCAAGGCTGAAAAACAGTTTTTACACACAGGCCATCAGGCTTGTGAACGACACCCATCTGCTGCCTCTCCCCCAATCACTGCAGACATACTATAGATTACCCTCCATCCTGCCTACAGTCATACACCCACATACACACATAATGCAAATAACATCAGACACACACATACTTTTTCAATTGCAACAACATGGACTCAATCTACCTCTACTGGACTTTGCACATGCATGTCTTCCTTGTTTATATTGCGCACTGTGCATTTTATACATGTAATAATTTTGTTTCTTGCATTTTTCACACTATTAGTAATCTTGCAATTTTAGTAATCTTTGTAATTGCTATTTGTAATCTACGTATTGCGTCTTTTATTTTTATGTCCTTAACTTTATGCCACAGGCTATTTCATAGTTTTCTCTACATATGACAATAAACTCTTGAATCTTGCATGCAGGTAACGTTGGATATATATCCAACTATAAATAAAGAGCTGGGTGATAATATAGTTACATTTTGCAACGATGCAAGCAATAAAGTCATTAAGATTTGCTATATGATATATACCATCAGCATATTTATACTGTATGTATCTGGAGAAAGTTGGACATACTTTTATATCCAACCTTATATAAAGAGCCAGGCAATAACATAGTTACTTTTTGTGACAAAAAAAGGGCAGTTAAGATTTGCTATTTAATATGTCACTTTATGTGAGCATAATAATATATCCAACTTTATATTTAGAGCCGGACAATAATATAGTCACATTTTGGGATGATATAAACAATCACATAGCTGAGATTTGCTATATATAGCCTAGTATATATAAAGCTTTATGCGAATTTACTATATGTATGAGGGTAAAGTAAGATCTACTATGTACTCTGGATATTTGTGAGATCATGTGAGATACACACCTCTGCCGAGGTCCATCTCAGTGCAGCGTTGCTCTGGGTTGTTGCGGATCCGGCACTTGTATACAGCTCCGGGTGACTGAACTGAACTGCTGAATGATGAGTTTGCTCTGGGAGCCCCGACCACAATCCTACAGACATCAGAAGAAACACACTGTCACTGTACATCACAACACAACTTCTGACCTCAGACTATTGGTTACCTGGAACAGACAGATTTTGCTCATTACAAAATGGAAAAAAAATTTCTTTGTTGGTCTGTGTTTTGTCTAAGTGTCATGGATGAATAATAGGGCTGTCTAATAAGTGAATTAGCCCTGGAGGTGGTTCTGCCTTGTCATACTGTCATGGTTTGGCTCTATAATTCAGTGATGCAAGAACTACATCATCTCCACTGAAGCAAAGGCAATGATTTGGGCGCTGGCCAGTGTTTCCCTTTAAACTTTAGGACAGCCCTTGAAAGAAAGTCTTAACATCTGTACAGTCACAAGAGATTTTTTTTTTTTTTTTTTTTAAGTTGCATGTCTGAAATGTAATGGCAAGAGTTGAGTTACAAAAGTAAGGGAAAACACTGTTCGTTAGCCTGAGCTGAGTAATGCTAAAGAATTGCATATGCATAATAGCCTACACTGCATTAGATTAGACAACAAAACATCAAACCAAATGTCATTGTCCAAATGCAGAAGGATCTTTTCCCAGAATTAACTCCATATTCTTGTTAATTTTTGCTCAACCTGGTTTGAAACGGACTGCTAATAGATTAAATAGTTCCAAAATATATGCAACTTGGTTTGATATTTTAATCATCTAACGCAATAATATACATTTGAACTATGATTAAATAGTCCGAATGACTTTTTGGAGCCACTGTGACAATCCAACACCAAGATAAATTCAAATTAACACATTTTTGCTCAACCCGGTTTGAAACGGACTTCTAATAGATTAAATAGTTCCAAAATATATGCAACTTGGTTTGATATTTTATCATCTAACGCAATAATATACATTTTAACTATGATTAAATAGTCCGAATGACTTTTTGGAGCCACTGTGACAATCCAACACCAAGATAAATTCAAATTAACATGACAATTCACACAGAAAACGTAAATAATTAATGTTTTTCCTAGCGCTAAACCGATGTTAGCGTTCAGAATTAGTTCGCCTGAGGTAACCATAGCGACGGAACACCGCTGGAACGCTTTAGCAAAAAGTGAGTAACGTTACTGTCGTTATTTATAACTTCATTGCAGTTTTATTTAATACAAAACTGTTTAAAAAGCGTTAAAGACATTTTACATTTGACGTACTGTGCTAGCGGCATCAACGTGATGACATTTAACGATTTTCAAACAGACGGCTTTAGGTTTTTAAAGTATAGCTTACATTTAGACCACGGTTTTAATTATTCATATATCATTAAGAAGATTTCAGTGACCACAAAAGTTCAATAACAAGTTTGTCAGCGCGATTATTTTCACCTGATGCTCGAGAAAAGTGACGTTTACCTGAGGAGGTAACCTTGGCAACCGCTCGAGCGCGAAAGTAGCGGCAAAACTTAGGCGATGTACTGATTGTTCATTATCGATTTATATATCATAAAACTTTCGTTTTGATTTTTGTAAAGTCTTAAGACAGTTGACCGTTGGCTTACTGTACCAGGGGCCACAAAAGAAAATTTGTGTTGCGTGAGACAAACAGAGAGAAGTTCCACTGAAGACGCAGACCGCCTTTAAAATCATGGTACAGTTCGAATACTAATTTTCACCATTTAAACATCTAAAAACACGCATAACTGACTGTATACATGTATTAATTCTGTCTCTGATTATGTACTCACCAGCGTGTGTTGTCATGGACGTGCTCCAGGACTGAATATCCAAAAAACGTCGCATCTGGTCCTCGGAACACCAAGGTATGTTGCAAGTCAATGTTGAAGGAATAAGCCAAAGAAACCAAACACAAACACACAAAAACATCCAAAGCGCGTCTTTTCCACGTAGAAAGTCCCGTCATTCTGTTGCGCATCCTCAGTGCTGATGAGAACTTTATAAAAGCTATTAAATCTGTCTAGAGTTCCACAATTAATGGAAAAAACTACATTTATACAACGACACCACGTCCTTTTCTTAAAGTTGGGAATTAAACGCATGCAAACACAGGGTTTGAGTTTGTGAATCGGAGGTTTGGGTCAGGATAGCACTCTCATTGCATGGCTCTTCTCTTCTGCTGCTCAGTCTGTTGTGTCTCTGGAGTTTCTCTTGGCATTAAAGAGCCGCGCTCGCGCTGACGCGTGTGTTGTTGCGCACTAGCATCACATTTCACATTACAGCAGCGGAGCGCCGCGCCCACTGGCGACACCTACCGACAGCGCTCAGTACTGCAGCTCACTATGCTCACAAGCAAGTTTTGCATACTGTGGTATAGATTTGGTTAATAGGCCTTAAGAGTATTAAGTGTATACATCCTCTAAATACATCCTCAACAAAAAAAAAAATGGTGATTTTTTTTAAAGATATATATTCTGTTGTGTATTACTCTAAATATTTGTGTATATGTGTATTCATCCATATAAATATATTTACATATAAATAAAATAGTTTTATGGATGGTAACTGTAATATTATTACTGAAATCTTATTAGTAACTAGTTACTGCAAAAAGTAATATTACTGTAACTAGTTACTAATTACTGCCCAACACTGGCTGACACAAAAAAAAAAAAGTGAATGTTTAATGCTTTTGTTTTTTGGAGGTCCATATAAAATCATGGTAGATGACTGTGGTAATCATTCAGTACCACAATATCCCACAATATTGCACATTATTTGGCCAACAGTGACTATATTATAGTGAGAATTAGGTTGATGCTTAACCAGTCTTACCTGACAACTGCAACATACAGCAGTGTTACTTATTTATTTATTTTATTTAGTCATTTAGCAGACGCTTTTATCCAAAGCGACTTACAAATGAGGACAATAAAAGCAGTCAAAGCTAACAAAAGAGCAACAATATATAAGTGCAAATATGTGTTACAAGAGCTTCTGCATGCAGAGAGAAGAGGATTTCAATGTAGTGTAAATAAAACTTTATTAGTTGTCTTAAAATGTATTAACCGCCTCAAAGTGCCCTATGACAGAGATTTATAGCCTTTTTTTTCAACAATGATTATTTACAATATGAAGCATGGTTCTAATTAGTCAGTTTCCCCGAAAATACAGTATTAAGTTACAAAAGCAAACAAAAACATAGTAAACAATCAGCATACTATGCGCCTGTGTCTTTATATCGTACATGTGCTGTGCAGATAGTTAAAGGGTAATTTCATTTTACCTTAAAACAGAGAAAAATAGGAATACAACTGAAATAATTCAGGAAAAATAGAGAGAATCAACCAAACTGAAACTTACAGTCAAACTTATTACACAAGTCTTCAAATCATACAAATGCAGCTTTAAAAAAAAGAACCGTCTACCCTAAAAAATGAAAAAGAAAGCAAAAAAAATCCATGTCATAAATTATTTCTGGCAAGCTACAAAAGTAAGAATATTCTTTACATTTTCTTTCAATTTCTTAACCTAACCAAGTTCCCTTGTACCAGTAACCGTACACACTCACACTTCGCTCACACACACACACACACACAGATAAGTAGAGCAGGCTCTTTCATGTCAGTAGCATCTCTCAGCAGCAGCAGCAGTCGTTTGCTCAGGCACGGTTCTGGTTCCACCTTACCGGAGCCAAGGCTGTAAAACACACAGATGGGGAACAGAAGCTCAGTTACTGCAGGCACATGCATTAAAATCACCAGTAGCCGACTGCATTTCACATGACGTCATCTGAACAAATATGTGACCCTAGACCACAAAACCAGCCATAAGTGTCAATTTTTCTTTTGTTAGGACAGGACAATATTTGGCCGAGATACAACTATTTGAAAATCTGGAATCTGAGGGTGTAAAAAAATTAAAATACTGAGAAAATCGCCTTTAAAGTTGTCCAAATGAAGTTCTTAGCAATGCATATTACTAATCAAAAATTAAGTTTTAATATATTTACAGTAGGAAATTTACAAAATATCTTCATGGAACATGATCTTTACTTAATATCCTAATGATATTTGACACATTTTTAAAGAAAATGTTCCGTTGCTTGGGTGTTGCTATATTGTTGCTAAGGAGATTAAGATATACATATTTAAAAAATAAAAATAATTCAAATAAGCAAGTAGAAAATCATGGTTCAAGGCTGTGATGTACAGTACCATTTGAAAGAAATTAATAATTTTATTTAGCAAGGATGCACTAAATTGGTCAAACATGGCAGTAAAGTATGTTACAAAATATTTCTATTTTGAACCAATTTTGAGCTTTTGAACTTTCTATTCATTAAAGAATCCTGAAAATAAAATGTACCAGTTTCCACAATAATATGAAGCAGTACTGTTGTCAACACTGATAATAATAAATGTTTCTTGAGCAACTAATCATCATATTAGAATGATTTCTGAAGGATCATGTGACACTGAAGACTGGAGTAATGATCCAGCTTTGATCACAGAAATAAATGACATTTAAAAAAAAAAATGTATTTAAGTTATTTTAAATTGTAATAATATTTCAGAATATTTTTGATTTTTTTGCTGTATTTTTGATCAAATAAATACAGTTTTGGTGAGCAGAAGAGACTTCTTTCAAAAACTTTTTTTAAAATCTAAATGGTAGTGTAAATTAAAGGCTATTGGCTATCAAAATAGTCACAGAAGTGTGATTTCCTGAGCAAGCAATTTCACAAGAAGCAAATAAACAACTGGAGAAATTTAAATAAATGTCAGGAATTCAGTTTCCTGATATAATAATACTATATCAATTTAATGGAGCATTGGAAAGGAAACAGTGACCACACCGCAGAAATCCGATAACTAACCATAAAATATTCGATAAGAAACACACATGTGCTTCATTTAGCATCTGATCGGCTCCCTCTCTGCACATGAACTGCAGGCTGAGCATCAGTGCTTACATATGGGACGCCTGCTTGAGTCCGTTTGTTAACATATATATGGAGAGTTACAGAGAGTCTTTGAAGGCTATGCTTAAACTCACAGCTGCTTCTGCACACTAAAGAAATGCTCACCATCACACGGGAATCCTCACGCTCCAGAACCTTCTGCGCCTGGTCCGGAGGAAACTTCAGCATGGATGTTATAACTTTGGCCATTGTCTGAAGAAACAAGATGCAATAGAAAAAAAAATGAGATGAAGCTGAAATTCTGCATTAAATGTTACAGTATTTTATTTAAAGGGGTCATAGGATGCCCATTTTCCACAAGTTGATATGATTCTTTAGGGTCTTAATGAAAAGTCTGTAACATAGTGTCTGTGCCGAAACGCTACCGTCAATCAAACTATCGTGGGAGGAGCCTGTCTGTGGGACGTCACACAGACAGGCCTCTGAGATCGGCTCGATTTAAGAAAGGGGTAAAGATTTTAGTAGATTAACAAAAAAACCACTGGGTGGATTTTTATCATTATAAGGTGGGTGTGTACACACACT